GTCGTCACACTGAAATGAACGAACGTGATGAACTAGGGCCTGTCCATTTCTACAAATCAACTCTGTGTAAGACTTAAGTAAAGGTAAAGGGACCCCTGAGCATTAGGTCCAGTCGTGGCCGACTCCGGGGTTGCGGCGCTCATCTCGCTTTATTGGCCGAGGGAGCCGGCGTGCAGCTTCCGGGTCATGTAGCCAGCATGACTAAGCCGCTTCTGGCGAACCAGAGCAGAGCACAGGAAACGCTGTTTACCTTCCCGCCGGAGCGGTACCTATTTATCTACTTGCACTTTGACGTGCTTTTGAACTGCTAGGTTGGCAGGAGCAGGGACACTAAGCAACGGGAGCTCACCCCGTCACAGGGATTAGAACCTCTGACCTTCTGATTGGCAAGTCCTAGGCTCTGTGGTTTAACCCACAGCGCCACCCGCGTCCCTTGGGTAAGACTTAGCCTTCAATATTTGAAGGGCTGTCACACAGAAGATGGAGCAAGCTTGCTTTCTGCTGCTCTGGCGGGTAGAGCCCAAGCTGATGGCTTCCCATTGCAAGGAAGGCGATTCTGACTGAACGTTAGGAAGAACTTTCTGACTGTAAGAGCTCTTTGAAAGTGGGAAGGGCTCCTTCGGCAGGTGGCGGCCTCTGCTTCATTAGAGGCTTTTAAACAGAAGTGGGGTGACCATCTTGTCAGAGATTCTTCTGGACACCCCCATCCCCTGCCCCTCCCCCTTTCCCATTCACTAGCTTTGCGGGTTTGGGAGATACTTATCTGCAAAAGCAGAGATGTCATTTTCTGCTTGCCAAAGGTCCAAGTCACTCTTGCAAGGTATGCAAATCATTGTTGCATGCACTGGGTTTTTCCACATTCGGCTAATTGCACATTGTATTCATCATCCATAAAAAAAAAACCCCAGACATCTCTCAAAACAGGAGGCTTTGAAGGTTAACACTTCCACACCTTGAATGGAGCCCAGAACATCCCAGTAACTTAGTCCAAGTTAGTACTGTTAAGCCTGCTCCACTTCTTAGAGCAGCAAAAAGTTTCGAAGGCCCAACACTTACAAAACTTTGATTTTCTTAGGAAGGAGGTCCCTGGCATATTGTAGTAAGGTAAAGGCCCCTGACCATTAGGTCCAGTCGTGACCGACTCTGGGGTTGCGGCGCTCATCTCGCTTTATTGGCCGAGGGAGCTGGCGTACAGCTTCCAGGTCATGTGGCCAGCATGACTAAGCCGCTTCTGGCGAAACCAGAGCAGCGCACGGAAACGCCATTTACCTTCCCGCCAGAGCGGTACCTATTTATCTACTTGCACTTTGATGTGCTTTTGAACTGCTAGGTTGGCAGGAGCAGGGACCGAGCAATGGGAGCTCACCCCTTCACGGGGATTCGAACCGCGACCTTCTGATCGGCAAGTCCTAGGTTCTGTGGTTTAACCCAGAGCGCCACCCGCGTCCCATATTGTAGTAGTTGTATTTATTTACAAATATGCAGGTGGGGTGTGGAGCAACAGGCTGCCTTTTGGAGCACTTAAGTTGTGTGCCTACACAATAAGAACTCTGAAAGGCATAGTTGCTGCTATGTCAGGTCTCTAGGGCAATGGCTGGTACCCTAAAATGCAGCCAGAACTCAATGTTTAGTTCTCTGTGTTACTCACCTCCCCCTTAAAACTGCAACGACCCTGGATTACACCATCTTTAGGTAAAGGTAAAGGTACCCCTGCCCGTACGGGCCGTCTTGACAGACTCTAGGGTTGTGCGCTCATCTCACTCTATAGGCCGGGAGCCAGCGCTGTCCGCAGACACTTCCGGGTCACGTGGCCAGCGTGACAAGCTGCATCTGGCGAGCCAGCGCAGCACACGGAACGCCGTTTACCTTCCCGCTGGTAAGCGGTCCCTATTTATCTACTTGCACCCGAAGGTGCTTTCGAACTGCTAGGTTGGCAGGTGCTGGGACCGAACGACGGGAGCGCACCCCGCTGCGGGGATTCGAACCGCCGACCTTTCGATCGGCAAGCCCTAGGCGCTGAGGCTTTTACCCACAGCGCCACCCGCGTCCCTTACATCTTTATCACCCCCCCCCAAAAAACCCAATACAGTCATACCTCGGGTTACAGATGCTTCAGGTTGCATTTTTTTTGTTGTGCGTACCGCCGAATCCTGGAAGTACCGGAATGGGTTACTTCCGGGTTTGGGTGGTCTCGCATGCACAGAAGTGCTAAATTGCACTTTGCGCATGCGCAGAAGCACTGAATCGCAACCTGTGACGCTGCGGGTTGTGGACACTGCGGGTTGCGGACGTGCATCCTGCACGGATCACGTTCGCAACCCAAGCATCTGTAGAAGCAATTGGCTATCTATTTAGCACCCCAGGCAATACATCACCTGTCTAACAAAGGGATCCAGGCCAGACTTGTCTGGGCCCCAATTTCAAACATTCCTGCTCCTGCGCAACCTCCCAGGTTTACAACAGTGATGCCCTATCCTCCATGCACCAAACCCCAGCCAATAGCCTGGGAATCATGTCCTATCCCAGCTGCAGTTCCTTAACCATACTCACAACTCTGAACCACATTGCAGTAATCACACTGGGGAAGTACCCAAGCTCTTGAGAACACCCACTTGCCTCTGCGAGAAAGAAAGAAAGAAAGAAAGAAAAGGGTGTGTGTGAAAAATCTTTGCTACCTGTCTGCAGATACTCTCACATAACTTGCTAGCTTTCCTGTGTGAAGAAAGTAGAGGCTCTTTGAGAAGAGAAAGAGAGAGAAACAGAAAACAACTGCGATTTTTTAAAAGGTCACCACCATCATTCTATTTCCCACACTTGCACATTTGTATCTTCTAAGTATCTGTGAGCATGTCTGTCATCAGGGCTTCTGTTAATCGCAACTGGGCTTCTGTTCTTAGGCTTCAGCCGAGATAACTTGCCTTTGCCCGGTCTTCTGCAACCTGGTGCCCTCCAAATGTTGCTGGACTCCGTCTCCCACAATCCCAGCATGGGCTCTGTCAGCATGGGCCAGTGGAGTTTAATAGTATCTGGAGGGCACCAGGTTGGGGAAGGTTGCTTAGATTGAGAATGAAGCATGCTGCCTTTTAATCAAGCCATTCTCTCTTTCAATGTACAGTGGTACCTCGGGTTAAGTACTTAATTCGTTCCGGAGGTCCGTTCTTAACCTGAAACTGTTCTTAACCTGAGGTACCACTTTAGCTAATGGGGCCTCCTGCTGCTGCCGCACCGCCGGAGCATGATTTCTGTCCTCATCCTAAAGCAAAGTTCTTAACCCGAGGTACTATTTCTGGGTTAGCGGAGTCTGTAACCTGAAGCGTATGTAACCTGAAGCGTATGTAACCTGAGGTACCACTGTACTTCTCCACCCCCATTGTTCAGCCCGGACACTGAGGTCCAGCTCCGAGGGCCTTCTGGCGGTTCCCTCATTGTGAGAAGTGAGGTTACAGGGAACCAGACAGAGAGCCTTCTCGGTAGTGGCGCCCACCCTGTGGAATACCCTCCCTTCAGATGTGAAGGAAATAAGCAGCTATCTTTAAAAGACATCTGAAGGCAGCCCTGCTTAGGGACGTTTTTAATATTTAATGCTGTATTGTTTTAAACACTCGATTGGGAGCCTCCCAGAGTGGCTGGGGAAACTCAGCCAGTTGGGCAGGGTATAAATAATAAATTATTATTATTAAAAGGGGGGGGAGGAATCTGGATCCATCTCTGCCTAGAAGTCACACCCTTTGACCTCAAACCCAAATGTGTAGTGACTGATTGCAATTGTAGCTAGGTTAAAGGCACTCTGTGCATGCCCAGAAATACTTTGTTGAAGGGGCTGGTTTTCATAAGCAACCCGACTACTGGCTTATTCATTTTTTCCCCACATAAGCCCTTCTGTGTGCAGGATTTCAGGGTGAAACTTGGGCATAAATTGCTGGATTCAGGGAAGCAGCCCACAGTATAGGAACATGCTGTCGGTCCATCTGGCTCAGTATTGTCTACCCTGGCTGGCAGCAGCTCTCCAGGGTTTCAGGGAGAGAGACCTCTCTGAGCCCTACCTGGAGATGCCAGGGATTGAACTCTGGAGCCATTACATTCAAGGCAGATGCTCTACCATGGAGCTATGGCCTTTGGCATGGTTATGGCAGCATGGCCCCCTTGCCAAAGGAAACACAATTGTGGATGTCACCATGGGCTGGAACTGTGCACTTTCTCAGTTTGCACAAAGGAAGAAAGGCCATGAGAGGTCATGAGTTCCAAGACGCAAATGATTTTTCCAGACCAATTTGAACTGGCCAATAAATGTTGGGCTGTTTTTCTCCCTCCCACCCTGCTCATGTCTTTACTTAAATCATGGGTAGGCAAACTAAGGCCCGGGGGCCAGATCCAGCCCAATCGCCTTCTAAATCCGGCCCACAGATGGTCCGGGAATCAGCATGTTTTTACATGAGTAGAATGTGTCCTTTTGCTCAAAATGCATCTCTGGGTTATTTCTGGGGCATCAGAATTCATTCATCCCCCCCCCAAAAAAAATACTCCGGCCCCCCAAAAGGTCTGAGGAACAGTGGACCGGCCCCCAGCTGAAAAAGTTTGCTGACCCCTGACTTAAATACTTATAGCAGGGGTAGGGAACCTCAGGCTCTTCCCACTTCTGTCCTTGGTGCCATGTGGCCCTCCAGAGATTGCTTTGAAAGGAATGTGGCCCTCCAGCTGAAAAGCTGTTCCCAACCCCTGGCTTAAAGGTAAAGGCACCCCTGACCATTAGGTCCAGTTGTGGCCGACTCTGGGGTTGCAGCACTCATCTCGCTTTACAGGCCGAGGGAGCCGGCGTACAGCTTCTGGGTCATGTGGCCGGCATGACTAAGCCGCATCTGGCGAACCAGAGCAACACATGGAAACACCGTTTACCTTGCCGCCGGAGCGGTACCTATTTATCTACTTGCACTTTGACATGCTTTTGAACCCCTGGCTTATGGTCTTCCAATTTGGTTGTTTAACACTGCTTTCTCTTTCAGATTGGCGATGACCTGGGCACTGAGAAATTCTGTGTCGATGCCAACCAGACAGGAAACGGGAACTGGCTGAAGTACATCCGGGTGGCCTGCTCCAGCGAAGAACAAAACCTAGCCGTGTGTCCTGTGAATGACCAGGTATGATCTGGCTCCATGGAATCCACTTCTCTTCCCCATGCCATCTTGTGTCTCTGCTGCTGTGATGTACCTTTGGGGGCCAGTTGGGCAGTGAGAGTGGAGTTAAGTGTATCACAGGAGAAAGTTCTGATGATTTATCATTTGAATTGATAAATGGTTGCATTTAAAAAGAAAAACCAGAACACCACAGCAAAGTACCCCAAGTTTAACACGCAACAATATTCTCCAGGATCTGCTGATTTGTTAGCACACCAGATTCAAGGCGGGACCAGATTACCCACTTTAGTGCATTTACCTGAGGAACTGGCACTTTTAGAAGTGGTTCCATGCTGGCGAGAAATCAAACTTTCCTTGTTATCTTGGGATGTAATAATTAATGATGCCAACTTGCAGCTGTTGTAAGGGTTGCGAACACATTGTGCATTAGGGGAATAGGGTTCCCAGGCCTCCAGGTCTTACCTGACAATAATTCATAATGATAATTTTACGCCCTGCCCACATGGCTGGGTTGCCCCAGCAACTCTGGGCAGCTAACAGCATGTATAAAAAATATAGTGAAACATCAGACATTTAAAAACTTCCCTAAACAGGGCTGCCTTCAGATGTCTTCTCCAAGTTATGTAGTTCTTTATCGCCTTGACATCTGATGGGAGGGTGTTCCACAGGGAGGGTGCCACTACCAAGAAGGTAGTGCCAGTGTGGTGTAGTGGTTAAGAGCGGTAGTCACGTAATCTGGGTAACCGGGTTCGTGTCTCCGCTCCTCCACATCCCTACAGTCATTTGCCAAAGGGAAGAAGAGGCGAGCAATCTATTTCATCTCTGTGGGTCTCCAGCAAGGGCAGTATCCTGTAGCGTACTTTGGCGCCAAAGAAAATCAAATAGAGGAACTTAGCTACTGTCTTGGTGAGCTCCTGGTCTCTCCCCTGTAATAAGAAGTGTATAACCTCCATCTCTGGTTTCCATGTTGGAATACATAGATGGTCTAGAAATTAAGGACCATGTGAGCTAGAGTTTCCACCACGTGGGCATCACATGGGCAGATCCTATCTCCTTCTGCCATACCTGCATACCTACCCCAAAGGAGGTTAGAAGGATTAGAATTGAACCTAGCCAGCGAAAAACAGGCGAGACAGTCTGTGAGCAGGTAGGGTCTCAGCCGGCGTACCAGATGGAGCTGGTAGACAGCTACCCTGGACACAGAATTGACATGCACAGTTGTGAGTCCAGAATGAATCCCACTTGGTCCTTCAGGGGCACAGCTACCTGAAGTCTCCAGGTTTGCTTCGACACTTCCAGGTGGCTGGTGGAAGGCCTGAATTTCCAGGTGGGCAAGAGTATCTAATAACAATTTTAACAATCACTAAGAAGACTTTCCATACAGCTTGTAGGCTTCAGTCTGGCAGGAGCTGGCTGCACTCTGAGGAGGTTCCCCTCCTCTGCTCCCCTCTTCCAATTAACCTCCATCTCCAGGACCTGCCCCCATGACATCACCAAGGGCCATTGCTAGGTCTCAGGTTTGGGCCCTGGAATTTCAGGGCCTAGGTTGCTCCTGATCTGGCCACCCTAGAGAGGAATGAGAGTCTCCTGGCAACTCTCAGCACCCTTAACAAACTATAGTTCCCAGGATTCTTTAGGGAAGGCCATGACTGTGAAAGTGGTCTCACAGTACTTTAGATGTGCAGTGCAAGTGGCACCTAGCCCATCCAAGCACAAAGGCTGCGCTAGTTAATCGTTGATTTCAAATGACGATCCTGAGTGAAATGCAGAGATAAGACTTCCACCTATCAAATTTAAAATCCTGGCCCTTTCACCCCGGATATCTGCTTATTGCCATTCTTGCAAATTGAGCACGGCGAACTACTTACCCCTTGCTTTCTGTCTGCAAGGCAAAATACCTGCCATCATGGTTTCTAAAGAAGCTTGTGGTGTGTTTTGGGGTGGGAGCAAGCCTCACTTCTCTCTCCCGGACGGGGGTAAATGGCAGGTCCAACTTTCTGGATCATTTGACTCAGTGGTTTTTCATTCCTGTAGGACACCTATGGAGGGAAGGCGGCAAAAAAGGCAGGGCAACCTTCCTGCAACCTGTGGATACACTGCTCTTTCTAGAACACACAGTCTTCTTGGATAATGGGCAGGGGAGCAGCCCAAATGGTATAGAGAGCCAGTGTGGTGTAGTGGTTAAGAACGGTAGACTCATAATCTGGTGAACCGGGTTCAATTCCCCGCTTCTCCACATGCAGCTGCTGGGTGACCTTGGGCCAGTCACACTTCTCTGAAGTCTCTCAGCCCCACTCACCTCACAGAGTGTTTGTTGTGGGTGAGGGAAGGGAAAGGAGAATGTTAGCCGCTTTGAGACTCCTTCGGGTAGCGATAAAGCGGGATATCAAATCCAAACTCTTCTTCTTCTCTTCTATAACAGCTCCTTTCACGTGTTTCTCTCTGGCTGGAAACAAGAGCTAATGGGAGCCAGAGCGGCTTGCAGTGTGAGCACCCATGCCGCTGTAGATTCTGGGGAAACGGGTTTGGCAGGTTTCTTGGAGTGCTGCAAAAACCAAAAGCGCCTTTTGAGTAGTGGCAATGGTGGCACTTTGGCTCATTTCAGATGTAACAGCAAAATGCTAAGTCATAAAAAATAATTAAAAAACCGCTGATCGGTTCTTGAGCTTCAGCAGTCAAAGTCATAACAGAAGTCACTGCTGCTGTGGATGCTTGAAACTGCAGTTTTAGTTTCAGAGCGTTAAATAGCATTTAGTTTGACTGAAGCCTGAGCTGTCCATCTCCCTCACCCCAATATCTTATTAAGCTGTTTACGCTTCAGGGTTGTTGTTTTTCTGGGTTTTTTTCCTGCACTTGGCAAAATATAGCTATTGTCAATATATGAATATGTATATATTATATAGATACGCAGTTTCTGATATCGAGTGTTTTTCAAATGTATGTTGAAAACCGAAAGCTAGCATTCTTGAATCAGCAGGAAGCACTTCCACTATGACCTGTGCTGAGTTGTTTTGTGACATGACCAGGTTTTTTGGGGGAGGGGCGGGAATCTCCAGTAAATAGATGATTAAAATATGATTTCAGGGTTTTATTACTTATTACTTATTTATTTATTGTAGCTGAAACGAGGCTCCCAAAGTGAGCATTCAGATAGAAATTTTGTTCAATATGATCAGCTCGTTTGAATGGTCAGCTAGCAAAGGTAGGAAAATAAAGAGCACTTTTTAAAAGGTACAACCCTAGAGTGGGGTGAGTGGCTTTCTTAATTTTGAAACATAAGTGACATGCTGGCAAGAGAGGAAATTCATTGATTCTAGAGGAGGAGGAGCAGGAGGAGATGTTAGGTGTGTTATATAGCCAAAACCCATTTCAACAAAACAATTTCTGTATTTCTTCTTCCTTTCCTCTTCCCCCTGCAAAAATAAAATGATGTCACAACGTTCTTTACCACTTGGTTCCAAAAGGTATTTCTCTGCCAAAACTACTTAATTCCTTTTGGAAATCATTTTGGAAGTGAACCGACAGTGAGGCTCTTGTCGTTTCCCCTCCTCAGATCTCTTCAGTTTCAGAACTTTGGGAGGGCTGCTGTAACAATGAATACTGGGGGAGAAATAACCTCTGAATACTTCATATATGTGTCTGCCTATCTAATCCAGCCTTCCCTAGCCTGGTGCCCTCAAGAATCCAGGCGTTTGTGACTACAAATCCCATCATCCCCAGCTAGTGCAGCCAGCTGGGTACAGCATCCCAGCCTGGACCAATAACATTTGCATAGAGCATCATTCAGTGTCTATATTTACCTACACCCAGAAGCCAAAACTCTAAGGGGCTGTAGTGGATAGTGGAAGCTGTGACATTGCTTGGGTGGTGTAGTGGTTAGAGTGTTGGACTAGGACCTGGGAGACCAGGGTTCAAATCCCCACTCAGTCATAAAGCTCCTTGTCACCAAGCTCCTTGAGAAAGTTGGGCTAGAAAGACAATAACTTAATTAATTAATATGGGATGTTCGTATCTGCCCATTGCAGTGCAGTCTTAGCTAGGTCTACTCAGAATCAATGATGGAGTGGGGGGCAGGAATGCCATGTTGAGCCCACGGCTGTGCGTGCCATGCAGCATGCATGGCCCTGGCACCAAAATTTGTGGGTGCCCGGACCTTTTATGGGGAATTTTGTGGGCACCTAGGGCCCCAGGGAGTTGGCACCTGGGGGGGGGGGAGATTCACTTTGCATTTAAAGGTGAACCTACCTAATTCGTGCTTTCTGATACAATGCACGAACCAAAACACAGCCGTTTGCTGTTATCTGAATTTTGCAATGCAGTTCTCTAGCCAAGTAAAGTGTCCAAAAATGGATACATTAGGGCAAAGTGTCCAGAAAAATGCATATGTTGCTGAAAATAGCATGCAAGACTACAGTATATTCGGACAATTGCATGGGAAATGTGCATCTTAGGAGAAGTGCACGCTAACTTTCTGATCATTTTTCACGAGGATCATAGAATCATAGAGTCATAGAATCATAGAATCATAGAGTTGGAAGAGACCACAAGGGCCATCAAGTCCAACCCCCTGCCAAGCAGGAAACAGATCAAAAGAGAGAAAGAGAGAATTCACAAACTTGGTGTGGGAATGTGGAGAAGGAAACTTCCGGGGAATTCTGCTTCCCCAGAATTATGTCTGGTCTCTGGCAATCTGTTGTTTCTATTGATGGATTGTGGCAATGTCCACCATACCCTTTAGACAATTTCACTGAGGTAGCTTATATTAGCAAAATTATAATTTCAAAAAATGCAACAAAATGGTTAAAACAAACCTAATAGATAAAAGCAGCATAGATTAAAAGCCTAGGAATTAAATAATAATAGTAATTGCCTGGAGCCAAAATGACTTAAAAGGTGATACCAGGCAGGCCTCCCTAGGAAAATTATTCTATATTTGGGGTGCCACTACAAAACATGTCCTCTTTCTGTCCCTGCACTGCAGATAACAGAGTCACAAGAAGAAA